TCTGCTAGTCAAAAGACTTTAGGTGACAATATTTTAAAAACAATTTATTACTCAATTTTCATGTAAGAATGTGTATATTTCTGTTCTTCAGTTAATTAATGTAGCTGGATGCTCTATATTACAAGGTCTTGCTGCTGGATGTGAAACTCTCTTCTCACAGGTGAATTATCGTATATTTTCAAACTTAAATGATTTGATTTCTTTATTTAAAAATATTTTTTATGACTTATTATTGAAATGAATGAATTGGGGTTTAACGTCGTACTTTTCTGCACACACCAGGTTATTGTAGTTTGCTTTGAGGCAAATTTTTACCAAATTTTTTTCTGTTGACTCTACTTGCATGAATTCCACCTGCCATGGGTTCTTTTACAGGCACAGCGGCATGCCATCCTTCTTTCACTACTGACAAAAGGATTACATACCGGAAAATCCTGAGGTTCTTTCTCGGCCAACAGAGGGATTGAACCTGGGATCTGAAGATTAGTGAGCCAGCGCCATTCTCACAGAGCAACTATTATGTCGCCCTACGACGTGATAAAACTGACAGCGACTAGTGTCAACTGACAGCTTATGTCGCTACGATTGAATTTATCCACGACTGGAAGCAACCACGAGCAACCAGTTGATCATAGTCGTAAGGGTGCTCATGTCGCCTGGTGTCAGTTGAAGAATCAGAGCCACAACTGATCACATGACTGAAACGTGATAACCTTCAAAATGGCCTAATTCCACTTGTCCCCCGTGGTTTTTAATGCACCCCTGGGTACCACAGGACTAAATAAACGAATCTTATTGGCTACGTCAGCGAAGCGCCGACTTAAGCCAGTCATAGATGCGCTCATGTCGCTTGCGACTAGGGACAACTAGTTGTCTCCTGTCGTAGGAGTAGAACATGTGCGACTCAGAGAAACTGGAAACGACTGGACTGCGACTGGTTGCCGTTCGACTTACACCAGTCGTAAGAGTGCTCAGGTCGTCCCTCATAGTCACCTCTAATCAGTCGCAGATTTCGAGTTGCCGTCAGTTTTATCGCGTCGTTGGGCGACATAAGCTAGGCTTAAGAGTTTGAATATTAGAACATAGTTCCATCAAAGATGTCTAGTTTTTGTGATCTTGTACATTAATACTGCGACAGTGTTCGCTGTACTTTGTTTCTGTTATGTTACTTTTGTCTTGATTATTTTTATTCAGTTTTCCTGCATTGACTATTACAACAGGATTATGGATTGAGACATTAACAATGAATTTTCTGGTTATTTTTAGACATATGGTAGTAGAAATAAAAAACAAGTTGGTATTATTTTACAACAAAGTAAGTGGTAATCTGTTTTGTACATGTACATTTCAAGATGCATTATTGAAGAGCTAAATCTGCCTATTGCTGGCCTTTCTTTTGGCTTCAAATGTAAGCTATTATTTAGACATTTTATTCACATGACAAGCCTGTAATCAACTCTAGACCACCGGATGGCTGAGATTTAAATGGATTGAAACACTCTAGCTATCCCTAGTTAATAATTTAATTTAAAACTAAATAATTTCACAGCTTGATCCACACTAAAATTTTATCTCAAATTGATTAAGAAAACAAAATCAAAATATCAACCATATAATTATATTATAATCTCGCCGCTTGGAGTCAATGAGAATAAAAAAAGGCTTATCAACAAAAGATTTTAAGGAAGAATATAAGTAGCACTAGTTTGTTTTGAGCACATTCAGTTTATGTTGTCTGCAAATGCTGCCGAATGTCAACATATTTCCAAATGACGATCATAGACTTTTTTTTATGCTATATTTTTTTAAGGTATAGTTTGTTTATATGCTATATTTTTTTAAGGTATAGTTTTTTAATATGCTATATTTTTTTAAGGTATAGTTTGTTTAAATGTTATATTTTATTTAAGGTAGAGTTTGTTTATATGCTATATTTTATTTAAGGTATAATTTGTTTATATGTTATATTTTATTTAAGGTATAGCTTGTTTAGATGTTATATTTTATTTAAGGTATTATAATACTTGGTATGGTCTGTTTGCCATGTTGGGCTGTTCTTATCAACGTTGATCATATCCTTCTTGTAGTATCACAACCAACAGATGTAGCGCAGTAAGTTTATTTAAATTATTACCAAATATAGTTACTGGTTATGCACCATATATTCACAGAATATTTATAATATTTAAAACAGCACACCACTGATTACTCTTGTTTAATATATGTTTATTTATCTTTGGATTTCTTTCAATATTTTATATTTTAACTTATTTTTCAGGCATGCTTTACAATATTCTTTATATTTCATACCTGGTATACCTGTAAGTATTTTAACTATTTGTAATAACTAGACAGTCATATCCACTGGAAAATATATTCTTATTATTATAAACGATTTCATTATTTAAACAACAATTTGTAATAAGTAGACAGTAATATGCACTGGAAAAATATACTTTTTACACAATTTTATTATTCAAACGTATCTCTGTGATTAGGAAGCTGTAGTGGTTCAGTTAGTAAGAAGCTGGCTTGCTAACCAGGTGGTCTCAGGTTCGCGCCTGGTGACAGCCATAAAAAGTTCCTTGGGATTTTCCAGTGCTGTTTGAGAGAAATAGGGTTTAACATCCACTTGACACAAACTAGGTCATTTCGGGACTAACATGGTTCAATTTTATTTCAATAATTCACTTGTGTGTGGGGGTCTTTAGCAGTGGGACCCTACTCCTTGTCACCCAGTGCTGTTTGATCTTGTCAGTCGTGTAGGATGGAGGAGCAGTGTCAAGTCAAATGGGATGAAAAGCCAAGGTTCTGTGTACAGTTAATATGCATGTAAAGAACTTTGGTTCTAAATCCATTTAAATCTCAGTCATCCAATAGATAAAAAGTTGATTTTAGGCATCTTTAACCTACACTTATATCGAATTCCAACTGCCAAGGAGTCTTTCACAGTGTACACGGACCTCTGTTTTTCGGCCCTTCCAAACAACTATGTATCCCTTGCCAGGCCCTCTACAGCACTGACAAGAGGTAACCATGCTGAACTTTCTCAGCCAAAGCTGGGTCGAACATGTGACCTCCATGTTAGCAAGCCAACGTCTTACTCACTTAACCATATTTGTAAATGGTAACCATTCCCTAATGGTAGAACTATAAGAAAAACTACATGTTTTTTCATTATAAGTTTCATTCCTCAGAATATTTGGGTGTTACATGTAGTTTTCGGGTGGAAATACCAGTTTCTCTTTGTGATATTATATAATTTTGGAATATTGTTTAAATATTCTGTTAATAATGTACTAAATTTTCTCAACTTAAAATAATCCTTTTATGTTAGAGGTTGTTTTAACGGTAGTATTTCCCATTATTTAACTTGATATTAGCCACTTAAAATTTGTTTGTTTTCAGGGTTATGCATTATGTATGATATTAATAAGATACATGCGCTGTCAGGTAAATATATTTAAATTATTTCTGTTTTTGCATCTCGCATTTCTTTTTTGATCTAATTGTTCTTGCTATTCTAAAAATAAACATGTATATCAGTTATTACAGAGTATAGTTATACCTAGTCTTATGATATGTATTATAACAAACCTACTAACTGCTGTATATCATGTTATATTACAGAGGTACCTAGTTTTATAGTAGGTATTATAACAAACCTAATAACTGCTGTATATCATATTATATTACAGAGGTACCTAGTTTTATAGTAGGTATTATAACAAACCTAATAACTGCTGTATATCATATTATATTACAGAGTATAGTTATACCTAGTCCTATAATATGTATTATAACAAACTTACTTACTGCTGTATATCATGTTATATTACAGAGTATAGTTATACCTAGTCTTATAATAGGTATTATAACAAACCTATTAACTGCTGTATATCATGCTATGTTTATATACTGGTGGAAACTTGGTGTCAGGTAAATCAAGTTTGATTTCTTTATAATAAGAGGCACCTTCGCATCGGTACGAAAACGAAAACGTCATTGATTCGTGTGTACTTGTAACGTCAACCCGTAATGAGTGTTCGTTTTCATACCGATGCAAAGGGTCTCTAATTTCATTGAATTTACAGACATTTAAAAAAAAAAAAACAATTAGACAATAATTAACTATTTAATAATAAAGTCTTTTTATCACTTTCTAGCATTTTCAATTCAAGCACCAAAATTTATTTAACTGGCTGATCTGGTGCATCTTAAAATTCAATAGCACCATTAAAATGAAAAATCTGTTTAATATTTTTATTTTAAATATTTCACGGTATCATTTCCTGAGAATAAAGATATATGTTTTAATCCATGTTTTTTTAGAGGAGCTGGTGCAGCATTGAGTCTAGGGTTTTGGACTAGTGGTATTCTACATATTGTTTACATTAAAGTAACAAAAATTTACAGAGCTACATGGTCGGGTATGTTATGTTATTTTACTTCAAGGTCCTAAAAACTTAAAAGCTAAGTAAAGAGGGATAGGACATTTGGGTGAGTATCTAAATTTTATAGGAAGCCGAAACCCCTAATGCCACTTTACGCTACAGTCAACCAGATAGATGTCCTCATGCAAGATGTCATTGATTAATCCCTGTCAACGCATCTGAACTTTTTTGTATTGTCCGCATATATCTCACAGCTCAAGATAAGAATACCTTGCAAATCATTTATAAAACAAATGATTAAAACAGGTTCTTCTAACACGCTCCCTTGCAGAATACCACTAGTTACAAGGGCCTAGTTATCTTTCTGCTCATATTTTGAATTATTTTTCCTGCCATAATTAATCTTTGAAAGGTTCTCATTGGATTGGTCAGATTGTTTATATGGATTAAAGGCTGACCCAATTGAAATTCAGAAGCTTTTGCAAATCACAAACTTATTTGACTGCTTTTGTCTAAATTTATGACATATTTGCTACAGATGATCGTAATAGGAAGCCTGATAAACCCCTGGTTTGTCTTTGAATATTTGAATTTTACATTCGAGGAGTGAAAGAACTTGGATGGAAATTAGATTATTATATCTTTCAGGATTATCTTGGAAGTGCCTGGAGGGTTGGAAGTTATATATGAGTCTTGCTTTTCCTGGCATGTTAATGTTATGTCTAGAATGGTGGTCTTTTGAAGTCCTAGTCTTTTTAGCAGGTAGTATATCTATCATCTACATTGTTTTAATGCTTTTTGTTATTTCTGAAATAAGTACATAAAAAGGTAAAAAAGTTACCAAGAAAATCTCTCTCTGTAATCAAGAGCTCATAAGAAAACATTTGTACAAGTTCTTTTCGTTACTAAGGTAACAGTGGCTTCATATTCGTGGTCTAAGGGGAGATAATATTGCACAATTTTTACCACTTATTATCTCCCTTGAAATATTTAATTTTTTAATTAAATATTTTGTATTTTTGTTTGCAGGTACATTAGGAACCACATCGTTAGCAGCGCATTCTATTTTATATCAAATGGCTGCCATTATGTTTATGGTAGGTAATTATTATTTACCAATAACAGATAATCCAGAATTGATTTCAACACTAACTTAATTTTTCATAGGACAATACGATTTTTATATGCCCATATATTTGATGCAGATGTATATTTAGCTCACTTTACAGATGAGAGTTCTTGACTATTTTTTTTCAATTGATGTATTTTGCGGTTAAGTTGGAGTTATCACCCAATAAGTTTCCATAAATTCTGCATTATGTAAGGATTTGTTCTTATTCGAAAGAAAATATGGGACTTTTAAACCAGTCAGATTTAATTTAGAAAAACTAAAAAAAAAAAAAATAACCGGTTTTGCCTTAAAAAAAAAATAGCTCTCGGAAAATGCTGCTTACCACGAAGAAGGGCGATATGTCTGCGATATGATTCTTTGTATAAAAATTGATACCAACTGTGTTTATTTTGTTTCTCTATTTTGTTACTGGACATTAGTTCAGATAAGATGCAGGTTGTTGCTGTTTAGTTTGTATATTTGTTGTCCTCTACCTTCCAAAGAAAGCAGGGACTGTTAAAATGGTTTGTCTGTCTGTCTATCCATCATACTTTTTGGGACACAATTACCCTAATTATTCTGACCTAGTATGTTTGAACATAGTGTACTCTCTCAGGCTAAGCAGAGATAAGCAATTTTATTGGTCGAGACTTTGGGACACAATAAGTCTGCTTGTAAGTGAGGTAGAATGTTCAAACTTGGTGTAAGTGTTCATTAGGTGAATTTCTGCTCAGGATAAGCAGCTGTCCATCAGACCTTTTGGAAAACAATAATTGATTAATTGAGGTAGAAAATTTAAACTTGACGTTGATGTTAGTCAGGTGAATATCTTGACTGGGTTCGTTGAAGAGTATTATCTACTTTTGCTAAGTAGCTATCTGTCTGTCGGTCACACTTTTTGGAAATCTGCTTCTAATTGAAGTAGAATGATGAAACTTGGTTTAGATGTTGTGAATATCTTGACTGGGTTGGATGATGAGTATTTTCATCTTAGGCTAAGCATAGAAAGGCAATTTCATTGGCAAAGATTTTAGAACATGCTTCTAATTGTGGGGGATTGGTGAAGCTTTGTATATAGGTTCAATACATCAATATTTTGACAAAGCTGGCTAATGAACATTTTCTGCTTATTATTTTGGGATTGAGGTGGGGAATGTATCAGTTTATTATTGACTTGTTTGTTGTTATATTGATTGTTTGTATGTGTGTTTGTTATTATTTTAATTGTATATTTGTAGACACCGTTAGGATTAGCTCAATCAGCATGTGTTCGAGTTGGTAATTTACTAGGAGAAGGATTACATCAAATGGCTGCTAACTCAGCTCATGTTATAGTTTCATTTACTTGTAAGTATTGATGTTATTAATGGATATTTTAAAGCATTGATAATAACTCAACTTTATGGGTGTACTAATTCTTAGTTTATTACATGCAACATTTAAAACTCTTACATGTAATCTTTATCTGTAAGAGTGTTAAAACATTGAATGTAATAAACTAAGAACTATTAAATCTATAAAGTTGGGTTATTTTGAATGTTATAACTCCACTTCCAAATGTCATTCAAGGGTAATGTTAAGGACAATCTGTTCTGAAAATAATTCTAAGAGTTATTGCCCTTGATTACTTTGTAAAATAATGTTATTTGATCTAATTAGAATTTATATAGATTATTAAAACTTTGTAGAATTTTATAAATGCACCAATGACAAAAGTTATCATATCTTCTGCTTCTTTTTTACAAACAATCTGATCGCATTTTAACAATGTCCGTTAATTACTTTTAGAGTTATTGCCCTTTCTAGGATCTTGTGAACTTACTGATGACTGTCTTTTTAAACTTCTTTGACTTAATTCCGAATTTGTTTTAACTGTGAATTTTTTTTATATCAATTAATTTCTGATAAATGACCACCAAAAATGTATTGTTTTACTTTTTCAGTTTTTATAGCTATATTTGATGCGATACTTTTGTGTAGTTTTAAAGACTTGATACCGTTATGTTTTACACAAGACAGGTACGTAGATAAAATAAATGTTGTGATACTGTCTAGTCATTTGGTTGGTACCAAAAACCGAAGTCCCCTGTACACATTGTCGTGCACGTAATAGATCCCTTACCAGTTGGAATTCGATGTAAGAGTATACCGTAGCACTGCTGTCCGGACAAAATTTCCCTCATAACCCTGTCGGAGTAGGACGTGAAACCCTATTTCATTTTATTTCATTTTCTTTAAGTAAAATTTAAAAATAGTTCGATTTGAAGAATTGTTGGATTTACTAACATTGGGAACGGGGAATTTTATCTGGACACCAATGTTTCTGTGGACTTCAACTCAATGCTGAGTACACTGTGTTATCGTTTTGTAGTCTAAATCTTGAATTTAATATAGTGTGAATTGTGAACCGTTTCTCTCTTTTCAGAGATGTAATAGATCTAACTTCTAATCTTCTCCTGATATTGGCAGTGTTTCATGTAGCTGATGCTTTAGAAGTAAGTCATTTAGGAGATTAGAATTTAGAGGGGTGTTATTGTGCAATAGACATGCCCTGAGATCATTAGGACCCAACATGCATTATTTAAAGGAGCCATCCTAGATATATTCTAGAGAAAAAAAAATGGTTTTGATATGGCCTTATTTCATATTATAAGAGTTTATATTGTGAGCTGAAACTTTCATACAAGGTAAATGGGCCACATGTTTAATTTGGCATAATCTTTGTATGCCTAATCTCACTTATATATGTTTATTTTGGCATTTTCTTTGCCAATCTGATTAAAACACAGATCCTATTTCCTTTCGTTTTTATAGTTCAAAATTTCATTGTACTTGTCTTTACTACACTAGGATCTGGCAGAGTTGTTAACATTGACCTGTTCTGAATGATGTGAGCTATTAGCCTATGAAACGGTCTGTTACGGCAAGTTTTAGGCATGTTTTGCACGGAACTCTGGGTAATCCATTAGTAACATCAATGCCGATTGGTTAATCAAATGTCTGACATCATAGGGTCAAAAGCCGCTCGTATGACCTCTGACACGACCTACTGCTACAGCAGGTCAGATCTTCATGTAGTGTAGGCCATCGAAAGTATAAAAAAACGAAACGAAATATAGATCTGTATTTTAATGAGATTGTTTCTTTGTATACCTAATCTCACTTATATAAGTGGATACATATTAATATAAAATCTGGTACTACTCTATTAAAATATTAACTTTTATTTGAATATTTTGAATAGGGTGTAGCATCAGGAGTATTAAGAGGTACAGGACAACAGAGATTTGGAGCAGTTGTAAATCTTATAGCATATTATATTGTTGGTCTTCCTATAGCTATAGTACTTATATTTTATACATCACTTGGTACAGCAGGTAAATTCATATTCACCATTTTGAGCTGATCCATGTATCTATCAGTCTGCAGTATAATCGCTCTACAAGAGTTTTTTGTCCCCCGCCTTTCGAAGAAAGCAGGGGACTATTAAAATGGGTTCGTCCGTCTGTCTGTCCGTCTGTCTGTCCCGTCTGTCTGTCCGTCTGTCTGTCCGTCTGTCTGTCCGTCTGTCCGTCCGTCTGTCTGTCCGTCACACTTTTTGGGACACAATAACTCTCTTCCTAATTGAGCTAGAATGTTCAAACTTGGTGTATGTGTTTATTAGGTCAATGCCTTGATGGAGTTCGAAGATGAGCATTTTCCGCTTAGGGTAAGCAGAGATAAGCAATTTGATTGGTTGATGCTTTGGGACACGATAACTCTCTTCCTAATTGGGCTAGAATGTTCAAACTTGGTGTATGTGTTGATTAGGTCAATGCCTTGATGGAGTTCGAAGATGAGCATTTTCCGCTTAGGGTAAGCAGAGATAAGCAATTTGATTGGTTGATGCTTTGGGACACGATAACTTTTAATTGAGCTAGAATGTTCAAACTTGGTGTATGTGTTTATTAGGTCAATGCCTTGATGGAGTTCGAAGATGAGCATTTTCCGCTTAGGGTAAGCAGAGATAAGCAATTTGATTGGTTGATACTTTGGGGCACGATAACTCTCTTCCTAATTGAGCTAGAATGTTCAAACTTGGTGTATGTGTTGATTAGGTCAATGCCTTGATGGAGTTCGAAGATGAGCATTTTCCGCTTAGGGTAAGCAGAGATAAACAATTTGATTGGTTGATGCTTTGGGACACGATAACTTTAGTTCTAATTAAGTGAGATTGATGAAACTTGGTGTATAGTTTCATTACAGTAATACCTTGACTAAGTTTGATAATGAGCATTTTCTGCTCAGGGTAAGCAGCAATTTGATTGGTTGTTACTTGGGGCACGATAACTCTCTTCCTAATTGAGCTAGAATGTTCAAACTTGGTGTATGTGTTGATTAGGTCAATGCCTTGATGGAGTTCGAAGATGAGCATTTTCCGCTTAGGGTAAGCAGAGATAAGCAATTTGATTGGTTGATGCTTTGGGACACGATAACTTTAGTTCTAATTAAGTGAGATTGATGAAACTTGGTGTATAGTTTCATTACAGTAATACCTTGACTAAGTTTGATAATGAGCATTTTCTGCTCAGGGTAAGCAGAGCGATACGCAATTTGATTGGTCGAGACTTTGGAAAACAATAACTCTCTTACTTTGATTGTTAGACTATAAGTAAAGATATACTGTTTGATTGTTCAATACTTTGTAAAAGATAATTTGTGATAAATTTATATGTGTCCTCTAATTATTTTCCTTTTCGGCGGGGGACATCAGCCTCACTGTTGGCTTGTTTTTTATTATTTCTAGGGGGGTGGGTAACCAGTCAAAAGCAGAAACAATTTAATTATGTAGTCGCAAACTGATATTTTTTCAGAGATTTTCTCTTTGAAACATGCCCATCAATTTTATACATAGTTATTGCCCTTGACACCACAAATCTCAAACGTGCCATTCAGTGTGTTACATATTGCCTAGCAAAGCTATGTGTAAAGAACTACAGCTTTTAGAATGTTGTTTTGCTTCATGATATGTAACTTATACATCTAAACATAATAATCATGAATGTTGTGGTTCTAATTTCTTTATTCCGATGAAAAACCTGTCTATATGTTATCCATATGTTTTTATTAAACAACTTAATCGTTTATTTCAGGAGCTTGGTGGGGTATATGTTTTGGTAGTACATTCCAGTGTATTTCATTTTTTATTAAGATTTCTTTTTTAAACTGGGTTGAAGAATCTAAAACGGTAATTCATTCAATACTTGTAAATAAATAATAGTAGGTTCTGTGATGGTAAGTAATGGTATCAAATGAGCAAGACAGGCGCATCACAAAAGGACATATTTAATCTCTTTAAAATTCTCATAATAATTTATGAATGTTGCTCACATTGTAGTTATTCAAGGTTGTTCATATAAAGTTGCTAGATCCCCACAGGTTTGTGGAAGATGCAATTAGATTGTGCTATTTTTTGTGGTTTTAACTTGCTGGAAATGTTCTCTGTATGGTGTTTATTCCAATTGTTCACAGTTAGGGGTGGGGCAGGGCAATTTAAATTAGATAGGACTTCTTCTCTGTAACCATTTGATGGATTTAACCATATTGATTGGGTGAATCATCTCAAGATTAATTTAAATAAAGTTACATGGCTCCAAATGGACAAGGTAAATTTCGATAAATATGTTCCTGGGGTGTTGCTTATTTAGATTTGTTCCAATGTAGTTGCTTTGGCCTATAAGGCAATGCAGAGGGAACTTTGAGAGAGCATATTTCAACGTTTGGTTTTACCGTGTACTAATATAATTTCCAGTAATTCTACAAATTTTCTTCAGATCATATGTTGTCTTATCAGCAAAATCATCAGTGCAAACATACTCTGATTTATGATTTAGGTTTTTGAACCGCTTATGTGTATTGAAATGTTTCCATCACTGTAAAAAAAAACTTTCAAAGATTGTCACATGTTGAAACAAGCCGGAATTGTTCAATTATTGGCCTTGTCATTGAAACCTTGTAAACACTCTAAAAATGACAATGATTGCTTGCGTATCTTACATAGCAACAGGCTGTGACAGTGTCAAAGTAAAAAAAAAAAAAAAAATTTCAAAGATTGTCATGTGTTGAATCAAGCTGGAATTGTTCAATTATTGACCATGTCATTGAAACCTTGTAAACACTCTAAAAATGACAATGATTGCTCGTGTATCTTGCATAGCAACAGGCTGTGACAGTCTTGTTTACTTTGATAAAGTTGCTGTTTCGCATATTTTTCATTACCGAAATATTTACACATGATATATAATTGTTTGTTTTTCAGGCCTCTTTAAGAGCTGGAGTTTTCATTACCGAAATATTTACACATGATATATAATTGTTTGTTTTTCAGGCCTCTTTAAGAGCTGGAGTTAAAACTACAAAAATAGATGGAGTACAAGGTAAATATATAATAATATAATATCTCCATATCATTTTTCTTTTAAATTCAGTGTTACTCCAAAATAAATTTAAAAAAATGGTACTGTATTTTCTACATCAATATATGCAGCCTTCATTAGAAGAATTGCAGGATTATGTTACAGACATGTGAGATACCAAATCATCAGTTAAGCTGATCGATTGTCAGTCTTACCATCAGTCAAAGTCATACTATCAATCAAAACTACATATCTCTGTCGAACAAATCAAACATCAGTTCTACAATCTTCAGAATTATTAGTCAAATCACAAGTCATACATCAGTCAAATCATCATTTGTACCAAACATCAGTCCTACAATCTTTAAAATTAGTCATATCACAAGTCATATACCATCAGTCAAATCATCATTTGTACCAAATGTCATCCAATCCTAAAACTATCAACCAGGGGTCACATTGATTTTATGCTGTTTTGTTTCAACAGGAAGGTTTTAAACATTTGCCAATGATAAATCACTCTCCTCGTTTTAGTTTACCCTGGCTAGGAAATTTCTGTTTTTTGTTTTGTTTTTTTTATAATTTTCTGACTTGAAACCAAATGTAGATTGATTCCTAACTTATTTTGTTGTTTATATAACAGAATTTCAGTCAAATTTCTTTATTCTGAACAAAGTTATGTGTTTTTGAATTTTTGACAAGAACATCTTGATTGTCAAATACCATTGCTGCGATAATAAACAAAGTCTCAATTATCTAGTTTATCGTTAAATGATTAAATGGCAATTTTTTTTTCTTTTTAATATCTAAGCCCTCCGAGATGGACTGGAGAATTCAATATAGTCTTATTAACAATTTATATAAGATTTGAAGCTAGAAAACAGACCTGCTTTAGGAAGATTTAGCTCCTACATAATAAATCTTTAAAGTAAATTGTATTATTATGATTTATGTTTTACAGATGAATGTACGGTTTCAGAAGGAGAAGATAATCAACAGTTGATAGAAGCTGATCATCTCTTGTTAACAGAAAGTCCCAGTTTAAACAGTATTAATAGTAACGATACAGAATACATGGAATCTGAATACAATAGAAAAAGACGCCTAATTCTCATCCGCCTGATTCCATTTGTGTGTTGTTTGATATTTTTAATAATTGGCATCGTTATTCATGAATACCTAAAAGAGTTTACTGCACATCAACATTGTGTTTTGATGCATGGACATGATTTTAATCTGACTTACATCCATGAGCTTTTAATGGATCCACAAGAGCACAACTTAACAAAAAATGATGTGGACATGCTCAATACTACTTATTATTTCGAAAGCCAGAATTTTGGGAATCAGACATTCATATATTGTCCGCACAATGTTCCTGATTTCTATCATGGAGACTACGAGGATTTTAATCAGACGAAACTTTACAAGTTATTCTATCCAAGACTTACGTTTCATCCATTGGGTTAAGTTGTTTCAAAAATTATCGATACAGATTATTATTTTTATAATGAAAACAGACAAATGCTTAAACAAATAATTTGGTTAACTGACTTAATATTTTGTGCCAAATTGTGAAATCTAGCATATGTCATGTGCAGAGGTTATTTAAATATAATTTTTTTACAGTGATAGAAAAATGAGCAGATGATTAGATTTCTACTAATTTAGTAAATATTAATATTTACCAACAAGATATCTACAATAAAGTTGTGAAGTTGATTAAGAATAAATGTCTTCTTGTACAGTAAAGTAAAGTTGATTAAGAATGAATGTCTTGCTGTACTGTAATGTAAAGTTGATAGTCTATAAAGATGAGTTTTGTGATATTGACATGTGGGGTGGGGGGGCGGATTTTTGTTTAAATAATTAGGCCAAACAAAAAAAAATATTCTTGCTCTCAGACAATCATTCCTTAAAAATCTAACGAGGGAGGGAGGTTTTTGTTTTTGTGTTTTTATTTTGTGTTCTCATAAATATCTCATTTCAAGGCAATGCATTATCTCATCATGTTGTTTATAGAAATATATGATTATCTAGTGTCATTTATGATTGCCAAAAACATGGTTGCTTATTTGATAGTTGAGCATATGGTACATTTATTCCATTTTATACATTCACATTGAAAAGTGGTTGTATATTGTTGTCGACCCCCTCTGTCCACAATTGCTTGTGGATGCTCGAGAGTCTAAAGTTGATATCTGATTGACTTTAAATTTATACACACTGTTCTAGGTCATGTCATGAAGAAGCCTATACAACGATTTCCAATAATTGCTGCAAGAGTTATGGCCCTTGATCGCTCTTAAGACCAAAGTGTTAGCATGGGGCAGAACAAGAAGCCAAACAAATCCTAATGATAATTACTTAATGGTTTGTTGGCCTATTCTTAATAGTCTTTGTGTCTTGTTTTTTTATAGAGTTACTTCCTGTATCTAAGGGATAATACTTATGTGCCATAATGAATGGAACTGTTTATATTTATTGAAATAAAAATGGGTCATGCGGCTCTTTTTAAGTGACACTGGAGTACTGAGAAACGGAATATTTTTTTTTATATGGCCTTATCGTTGGTTGATTTTTTGAAAACATTTCAATTTAGAATGCATTTAATTGTTTGTTGTGATATTGAACTCGAAATATTTTATGTAACAATCATAACATTAATATTATTTTGCGATTTCACAATTATGATTCCTAGAGGACTTTGAGCTCTTGTCAGATTTTATTTTTAGTAATGGAGTAATTGTCTTTTTATTTCTTTTTTTTTTTTAGAAAACTGCAATTTAGAAGGAAGGCATTTATTTGATTGTTGATACTATTCAAAATCAATTTATGGTCATAAAGATTATGTTTTGTGATCCCTCTAAAGAGGACTTAGATTTATTTTTGTTTTGTTTTGTTATTTTACCGGTAATTAGCATTCTTATTATTTATTAAAAGTCCCAATTGTATGTTATTTATTATATGCCCCAATCGAATTTTATGATTTATTATATGTCCCAATCGAATGCGATCTTTAAGTTAATAATGGCTAACCAAAACACACATCTATTATGAAATTCAGTGTTGATAAACAAAAGACAATCCAATGAAGAAAAAGAAAGAAACAGGATCACCAAATTCCATAAGTGGCAACTACCATGTCAATGGATATTTCTATTGGTATTTTTTAATCCAATCGCGTTGTCATGGTAATGTTAATTTGAATTTACAATTTCAACCCTTTAGCACTTGGTACATGTAAATAGTGACTACCCAAGTGGCCCCAAGTTCTTTGCAGAAATAAAGAAAAGAGTGATATATATTTTAGACTGGGATATCCCTATCCTGCCTGAAACCGTCAGAAACTACTATTCCAGGGACTGCCTCAATTAGCTCTTCATATTGCAGGACTGTATACTAGTTCATGGAGGTACCACACATATTCGCATGACTCAGTCTACTTGATTAAGAACTACCAGCAAGCAAACATTCACACTGCAAGTTTCTTGCGATCAAGTCAAACTGTTGTTGTTAATTCGAATTATATTATGCAAGGAGAACAGGGTATTATTTATTTTTGCGCTGATGCCAAATGATAATTAATAGTGCTAAATAGTATTCCCTTAAAGCCAAACATGTATGTATGATCTAAAAAGAGGAGAAATTAAATTTATGATTAGCTGGTTTGTTCATTGCTCAAGACAATAAGGGCAGCAATGCCACAAGCATGTTAACCCTGCTCAGTAACATGGAATACAGGGTGAAATGCAGGGAAGTCTTCCTTGGGGTAAAAGTGTATAGTTGTTTACTTTTGAAATGTTGTTTAATTGCTTAATTCAGTATTAAATCTCTTAAGTACCAGTAATAAAGGCTCAATATTCAAGAATACAGATTAAATGGCTAATGTAGACTTTCAAATCATGAAGAATAAAAAGTAGTTCTACCAGTAAGGATTTAAGTTAATCAGTCCCAACATAATCTGTAGCCACTTGAAGTTTACACTGTTTTCTATTGAGTTCGCGCTGCCATCTTTATTTTGCTTATAATCATCTGTAGGCACTGGAACGATAATTCATTTCTTTCCACAAACATTTGGACGCAATATTATGTTTTATATTACTATATAAAGAACAAAATTCAGCATTTTCATACATTAATATTATTATTTCATCAAAATTAATTGTTCCATCTCTTTAGCTCATCAGAATAATGGCTCTAAAAGACAATGTCATATCCCAGACCTTCTAGGTAACCTATTTCATCTAACAATTGATAGATTTCAACCAAATTTAGTAGTGGTGCTTATTCAGATTTGTTAAACAGAAGTTGATACGGGTGGCGCAGGGCACATGCACCCTTAAGGGACAAATTTTTAGACATGTTCGCACTTTTATGTCTTCTTCCCTTAAACAACCCCTTTCTGGATTTAAACCAAATTTAATGGGTATAATTTGTTTTAAATTGTGGGAGGGTAAAGAAGGGGTTTCATACCAAACCCTCTAGGACTTAAATAATGATGGATAAGTTTGATAAAATAAAAAATGTTCTTGGATATAATTTTTTGTCCAAGAATTTCAGTTGTTTTTATTTCTTTGTTTTTTTTTATAATTGTTATATATTGTTATTGATTGATATTGCAAAGTCTACTTAATTATACTAGATATATACATTTTTGATATCTTTGTGTCAAACTTTGTGTGATATTATTATATTATGTAGGCCACTAACAAGGATACATCATATTGATGATATACATAAATAAAATGCAAATGATAGAAACATTTTTGGTTGTTTCCATTGATTTATACATTTTGAAAGATGGGGTTCTTTCCAGTTTAAAATAAATTATAACAACCGGATACAAAATTTTGCAATATCCACCCTTCAAATAAAACTGATTTAATAAGATTACAAGTTAAGCATTAAGAACATTATATATGGAAATACGCCAACATACAGCTACGATAATCACGGACCAAATCTGATGAGGCATTAGCCTTCCAAAAATCGGATCAGAAACCTAATATACCCTTGCAACTGAAAGTCCTAGAATGGTGAACATCGACAGGGCTCATCCTTTCCAATTCAAATGCTTCAAAACAATTCGGAGGCTATTTGCCACATAAGTCACCGTACCACAATTGTCAACCAATTTCAATGAAACTTACCGATTACGGTAACATTAATAATATCTCGGAGTAGCCAAAATTTCGACCACTTCCAGTCAGCAGTTTCAGAGACATCGTATTTGCTACACATTTCATGTGGCACGATTGCAGGCTACAAGCACCAACTGATTTCAATGAAACTTTCTGATCATAATTACATTAATAATATCTCAGATTAGACAAAGTTGCGGTCACTTCCGGTTAGTGTTTCCGAGATATAATTAAAGGTTACCACATATTTCATGTGGCACCGCACGACTGCAGACCGCAATTATCAACCGATATCAATGAAACTTATAGAATATGACAACATTAATAATATCACAAAGAAGCCAAAATCTCGACCACGTCCGGTTAGCGGTTTCCGAGATATCAGGTTACCAGACATTTCATGTGCATGGCTAGAGACCGCAATTACCATCCGATTTCAATGAAACTTGCAGGTTATGATTACAATAATAAGATCCCAGAGATATCAGGTTACTACACATTTCATGTGACACGATTGCAGAATTATAAACCGATATTCATGAAACTTACAGAATGTGATAACATTAATAATATCTCAGAGTAGCCAAAATTCCGACCACTTCCGGTTAGCGGTTTCCGAGATATCAGGTTACCACACAATTCATGTGGCACTGCTACAGACCGCAATTACCAACTGATTTCAATGAAACTTGCAGATTATTATTACATTAATAGTGTGCGAAGTTTCCGCCACTTCCGGTAAGCGGTTTCCGAAATATCAGGTTACCACACATTTCATGTGGCACGACCGCAATTACCAACCGATTTCAATGAAACTTACAGAATATGATAACATTAATAATATCTTAGAGTAGCCAAAATCGTCGTTAGCAGAACGGTATAGTCTTGATTGTCACTGCTACCGTTGTTAAGATAATAACAAGGCATCGAGATTTAATTATTGTCTTGATAGGTTTATTAATGTCTAATGAATAATTTATTTAACATAAGGAAGGACCTGCAATGGGCAGATGTAGCTCTTGTACAATACCTGTTTAAGTAGACGAGGCATTTCCCCACCAGGGAATAATCCCGGAATAATATTTCTTAAACAACTATTATGTAGAAGAATTTCCACGAGATCGTATAAATGAAACTTTCACAGGAAGAATACAAATGAAGTTATCGCTGTAATGGCAGAGGAAGATAACTCTTACTAAATAAGTAAAAAACTTTATTGCATGGAATCGACCATAAAGAACATCATGCAAATACATTTATAAACTGACACTATTTGTAGCATATATAACACATCTTACAACTTTGGGACCATCACCACAGACAAATGAACATTATGATGACAACCATTTACACTAGCATATCAATCCTTCAGCGTCCAATATTTATTTGTCTGAGGTTTGTGACTTGAAATATTTTTTTGTAGAATGACAATGTTCAAGGCAACAAACAGGAAACCGGGGAAAATACAATTTCCCGCCCGATTCATGGACTACTGATATTACAATCAACTTCAAATACAATATTCTTGATCTCTTTGTCGTTCAAACAATTCATTTATAAAAAGGTCATTTATTTCACATTCTAAGTTGATTATTATATTTGACGCCATATCTCTAATAATCGGTATCAACTACATTTCGCATGGCATTGTTCTGGTAGAATAACAAAAAGTTTCTGTAACCATCTAGACACGCCCTCTGTAAGAGAAATAAATGAATGAATGAAATGGAGTTTAGCGGCCTACTTTTCTTCACCAACGGGGCAAATGAAGACGAAAGTGATATATTATAAAGGGGTTTATTACCCAATAACAGATTCTACGGAAGATATCGTTTGTGTGATAACTTTCATATTCTATACTGAGCGATATCTATATGAATTTGATGTATATCCAAAGAATCAAATTTATTTATTTGTGCGTGTAAGAAAGGGTTGTGTGATAAAATAAAATCTTCTACTTGTCTTTTTTGATATCAAACGAAAAATATCAACACTCGTCGATAAAGTAATCGACTTAAGTTGATATTTTTTGATATTAAAAAAGACTGTTAGGAGATTCTCTATTTATCATTGACATTCCTTGTGGCAGTTCATGTACGTGGTTATTGGTCAGCGACAACTACACCAGTTTACGGCGATCACCATAGAGCCCGACAAATTAAACGGCGAAAAAGCCCGATAAATACAACCATAAGCAAATAATCCTCAATCGAAAATGCTCTTATACCCAGCTGTAGGCCTATATAAAACAAATGCCATAAAATATACACCGAAAATATTTCCCGATAAAGATTGAAAATATCATATATTATCTAGAATGAGGTATTTTCGCTCTGTCGTCGATTTATATTTACTAGGATGCACAGCCGGCCCGTAGCCAGCTTTCTGACTGCGGAGGGGCAGTGAAGTTTTTATGGGGGCAAACACGGCACAGTCTACAGTAGGTATTTTAGAGCTATGGCCGGCAAATTTTTTTTTGGGGGGGGGGCAAAACATTTTTTTCAGAGAGCATTGCCCCCCTCCCTTGTCCCCAGCTGGCTCCGGGCCTGATGCACAGGCTTTAAGTGTTTTTAAATATAATAAAACACTACCTTGAGTATAATTTTTCTCATAATTAGTTCAACAAAATTCGTTAGGTATGTTAACTCTCCAAATGAAAAGTGGTATCGTGAATTTAGAAAGGGTAAGCATATACTGAATCATGCACGACGCCCGTCACCATATGCAGCTGGGTAAAAGAAAACCTTGTGGTCACAGGCAGAGTTACTTCCTCACGAAACATCACTATGATCATGTAAAACATTTAAAAAACGAATACAATAATATTTCGAAGGTTGTGCTGCTTACCAAACCATTTAGGATGACATTTATTATATACCATTGGAAAATACAGTAGCAATCCACTTAATATAAACAATATGGCATAGAAATATTCCAATTTGGGTAACATGATAATCGGGGCTAACACTAGATAAATCGAAGCTAAAACCACAAATATTGGAATGATGATTGGTACCTGAAACATACATTAAAATCATGAATAATTTTGAAACCAGACGTGTTCAAGAATTCAAACCATTCAATTCTAAAACGACTGGGCTAAACCTAGGCCTATGTATAATATTGATGGGCACGCCTGAATTCTGATATATGGTTGCCCCTTACACTTACACAGTTTCTGTGACAGGGTCGAAAATACATTGCACAACTTTGAATTGCTATAAAGTACCTCCGTGGGTCAAGCCAAACAATGCCAATCGGCAAGTTTATAATACAGCCTAAAAGACCTCTGAAATATAGAGTGTTTGCAAGGTTTAGATGATCGGGGTAATAACCCTGCAAATATCATTGCGAAATCATGCATTCCAATAGTGAGAACGGAGGCGTTGGAATAGTTGGGGTGGGAGTGACCATCTCCTGCATTCCTCGAAATGACGTAGAACAAACAAATGTGCGAAGCATTGACACGGTTTTGACCTCACTCCTCTCCAGTCCTATACATGTATGCTTCTGATTTATACAATTCTCGGTTAATCCCCCAGAACTCCTCACATGAAACTTGACATTGTCTCCATCGTGGTCCAGGAGCCGCGGTGGCCCACTGAGTAAGATACTGGCTCGCTAACCAGCAGGTTCCGTGCTCGGTCCCTGTGTTGGCCGAGAAAATTCATCAGGATTTTCCAGCGTGGTTCCCCGATGTAAGTGGTGCAGGGCGGAAGGTCTGGCATGCGGCTCCGTGTGCATATTGGTTTATGTGTAAAAGAACAGTAGGACGTTAAACCCCATTTCAGTTCCATCTTGGACCCGGGACTGCATAAATTCCCTAAAACCATGTAGTTAATTTACAAGGTTTATTAGTATGCTACTTCCAGTCAGTTCACTCAAGATTTCCATGGTGAACATAATACATGCTTTTGAGCTGGAGGTTTCTAAAATCTGCTCTATCTGTGGTAGAAAGTTTTAGAAAACAGTAAGAGCCGATTAAAGAAACGAGAATTAACATTATAGTCAATGGGGGGAATTAATGGTGTACAGTTGCCACGTATAATCATAACCCGTAAAGATAATTTGTGTTCTCACTGTTTATCCCTTAATAACTAATTCGCCTTCACCCAATTTGGTCATTACCTTATATGGTCGTTTGATGTCTGGACTGGTATACCTAAGGACTAGAAGCGAGGCTGCTGTTAAACCATAAAATATCCAGGCAGTGAAACCAAAAAATCCAATCAACATTCCGAGATCACTTGGTAAAATTAACAAGATGGCGACAATCGTCTGAAAACACAGACAAACACTAAAAATTACCCTTTCTGAAAGGTACCCCCCAAAAAAAGCATAAATTGGAGCTCTGGTTCAGGGATTACCATTTCAAAAACTTCCCAAATTCATTAGTCAGTGCAAAAAATATGTCTCCCGATGAAACACCCTAGTATAATGTTTCAGATTCCTAAAAATATTAGGACTAATTATTTAGAAGACACAGGAAACTTGACCCCTGTATACATGTATAAAACAAAGTCTGATTTGCTGATTCATCGAAATTGTATTTTTATCGTAAGTGTATAAAAAAAATAATATCTGGATAACGACATGTAGTATGTGACCCTGTTTGACTGAATCAAATATGCTTTTCTCAGCTAAAAACTCGAGATGGCGGCACCACTTTGTCGGATATGGACTCCCCGATTTCTTTTATCTCGAATATTTTTTTTTTCGTTCCATCGAGGTCCACGACTATATGATTTAATTGTATTTTGGTCATTTTTAAACCCTTCTGCTTCCATGAAACACATATTAAAAACTTAAAGTCCCAAACAGTAGAAAATAATGTTGACAACCTTACTGTAAATATAAGTGATGGAACTGGTGTACGTCTGTTAATATGTATATAAGATAAAACTTGTGGTAGATGTCCATCTCTAGCTGCAACTAAACACAGTCTACCACTAGCAAACAAAGAACCATTAGCTGCTCCAAAACACGACAAGACGACGAATATTGGCATAAACCACGATAATATACCAATTACCTTTACAGACCATGTCTGAAAACAGTAAACATCTTGGTAGTATTATAATGGTGATATATCTATAAACTGTTTCTATTTCATTCTTTCAATAATCCGTTCGTTCATTATTCATCCATTCAATTAAAGATTTCTATGATTCTTATATTTCTGATAATCGCTCACTTTAATTATTGAAGTGTCTTTAATATTTTAATCTTTCCTCTTTAATTGTTATTAGTAACAGTAGTGTATATAGTTAACTCCTAAGATACCATTTTATTATAAATACCGATTTGTACATTTAAATAACATTCTCGGTTTCACCCCGTTTTCATTACGTGCTGTTCTCCGTATATGATGTATAATGTTTTCCGGTAATGAATAGTGTCAAGGATAGTTCCAGTTGGCCTCATCAAATAGATCTAACCGCGAATGTGTGAATTCTTCCATTGGTAAAAACAAACCTAGAATTCATAGTATAAACCCATACCAAAATATGAAGATCTACACACCTGGTTTATCATAATATAGATCGCCGATCGCTTTTATAAAGCACTCAAAGATAACTTAGAAGAATTACGGTGAAAATAAAAGGAAAGAACTCCAAAATAGCACTACAGAACTGGAGTCGAGTAATATTTTAATATTGCAATAGAGGTTGATGAAATTAAGTACTAAGCAGCAAAAGAAACGCCAGGGTGGTATGTTACTCTGAATAGACGCATTGCATAAAACTTGCCAAATGTTTTTATTGTATATTTGTGACCACATCTCCAACTTTACTGAGCAATAAGACTCCTTCGCAAACACAGAATTGAACCCAGGAAATGTTCTCAAAAACGCAACCTGACTTCTGAGATGGTAATGTGTTCTCTATGATTTTCATGTAACTCATGCTGCACGTGCTGTTCACCGGGACCAGCCCTATAAAATGCACCCCCATACCTGGATGAATCATTCACACTACAACGTCAGCAGCATGTCACGACTTACGACACCTCAGAGGAACCAGGCGCTTGAAAGACTCGACGCTGGCCACACTGCCCAAGCCGTTGCCAATCACTTCCAGGCCAATGTTCGGACCATCTGCAGGCTTCAGCAACGCTTTCGGACCACCGACACAACGGATGATCGCCCCGAACTGGTAGACCAAGGGTTACCACAAGGCGACAAGACCGCCATATTGTGCGACAGCACGTGCAGAATTCCTTCACACAGGCATCTGGGACAGCACGTCAGACAGTAGGAACACAAGGAAGACCCATCAGTACCGATACAGAGCGCCGACGTCTCACCAGAGAGAACATCCATTGCCGTAGACCTTACCGTGAACCGATCCTCACCCCCCGCCATCGACGTGAACGTCTACAGTTTGCACAACAACACTTGAACTGGGGACACAGGCAATGGAGAACTGTTCTGTTCACAGATGAGAGTCGGTATTGCGTATCAACTGCAGATGGCAGGACCAGAATATGGCATCGACATGGCCAGCGTTATTCTGACCAATGTGTCATGGAACGAGACTCATGGGGAGGTCCAAGCATGATTGTTTGGGGTGAAATCGGCCAGTGGGTCCTGTGGTGTTCCAAAATCTTGGTCCAAGGAGAGGAGGCGGGATCACAGCAGTGCGCTACATCGATCAAGCTCTCAGACCCCACGTCATATCACATTTCGCACGTCATCGAAACAAAGTTTTCCAGCATGACAACGCCCGTGCCCACACTGCCAGAGTTACTCGTGACTTTCTACAGCAGAACGGTGTCAACGTTATGCACTGCCCAGCCCTTAGACCGGACTTAAACCCGATTAAACATCTTTGGGATGAAATTCAGATGAGACCAAAAACAGCCGATGGATTGCACCAGGCTTTTCTGAGAGTGTGGTTCCAGGTGCCAATGGCGTTCATCAATCGTCTGGTCCACTCCATGTACAGACGCTGCGCTGCTGTTATTGACACTCACCGTGGACACACCAGATACTGATGTATAGACTGTGTACAGACTCTAACACTTCTCGTAATGTCTTGGAATTGTGAAGAATTAATCTCTAATGTGTCAACATACTGTTCACAAAAAATTGCTTTGATCCATTTAGTAAGCCGTTTTCTAGAATGATTTGATTAAAGTGGCTCTCTGATTTTGAAATCGTACTGACGTTCTTTTTGCTGTTTAGTATATATTAACATATTTCAGAAGATTATTGTACATATTATAGCCTACCCTTAAAAAGCGGCCATTGTCTCAAATGTCACAGATCTTTGATCAGTATGTTGAATACGGCCCACATAATTGTGGGGGGAATTCACCTTACAAAAATTTAAAAAATATTTCTATGCCATATCATACAACAGTGATTAACTTTTGATACACTTGCACAGGAAATATCACTTTTTCGAGATGAAAAATCCTAGTGGCAACCTCATTCAAAGTAAATACTGGTACACCGTCTATCAATTTCACAAATTGTTCTTACCATGGCAACAGCGTCTGATAAAAGAAGTTCTTCTTTTGATATAACACTAAAATAACCAATGTTGACTAGAATATAACATATAGTTGTCAGCGGTATTCCAAGACCAATAGACAATGGAAGATTCCTGGAAGTAACATAGAAATTATCGTTGCTTTGGTTATAAGACATTTGTTTTGGTAGTGGTATAAAAGTGCAGATATAACTAACAAACATGATTATGATGTTACTGTAGGATAAACAAGTACAGGGGGTATTAAGGATCAGAAAGCGCACAGCCGTCTTGGCAAATTTGGCGTCATATCACAAATCGACGTCTTTCAATCGGCGCGCAATGGTCCAAGGATCATTGAACTTGAATTGGTGAAACCTTCGGCGTTTTGCTAAAGATGGACTCTTGGTTGGGGCCCAGTGTCTGGTCCAAAAATACTATTAATATAACATACCTTTGCGGATTTTTTAATTCTTCAGTTACAAAATTAAGGTTGTTCCTAGAAATGGATGAGCAAAATAGTTACAAAATTAAATATATATTTAATTGTCAGTTACTGCATGACATGCCTGTATATTCGTCCTAAATAAACAAATCCTTAAAGATCATTAATGATCAATGATCCAAATGTTTTCCATGGACAATGCTAACATTTTAAATACCATTACAACGGTATCGTTTTGTATTGTATTTCTTGGACTTCGTTAATTCGGTAAGTGTAGAAAAGTAGGACGTTAACCCACATTTCACAGGCTTGACTCCTTTTTATAGGTTCTAATAAATAATGTGTTTCTTTCATTATTTCATTTACATTGTACGAAAGAAAACGTGGGCAGTTTCTTGCCATTGTCCAATGGTTGACATTTATTTAGTATCTTTGATTTCTAAATGCAAAATGTGTACTCATATCTTAGGTGGTAGTAGAGGTGGGTGTAAATCTGATTTAAACACAAATCCTATTTCATTCCGGTTTTTTTTCTATATTTCGAAATCTTCACTACACCATGTATTGGAATTCACCGAAAGTATAAGAAACCGAAATGAAATATATATCTATATTTAATCAGATTGGAGTGGATATATTTCTAGAACACATAATGGCACTTCATATGTACGTTTTAATTCTGCATTAGAATCTCTGGGGATCAAACGTTTAAAAAAATAAACCTTACCAGCCATCATACGCCCAAAGACCATTATAAAACGCAAGAGCTAGAACAGACGGATTCTGTGTTGTTCCTTCAAAGCCTTCGGATATGTAAGTAGTACTACCTAAAAAGACAACAACGACCAAAAGCAACTCTCTTCAAGAATCGGAAAGGTCGCCAAAATACAGTTTAACTATTAAAAATTGCAGCCATGTCATATTAGTTAACTAGCAGGATACCCGGCTTCGCTCGGGGGTCATAGCTTGTTACTCCCCGGTCCAAGCTACCCCTATACCCCAAATTTCAGACTCGGGGCAGACCTAGTGTAGCCGCCAACCTCGAACAGACCGGCTTCGCTCGGGGGGTCATAACTCCGAAACCGGAAGCGGTAGACTAACGCCACCTGGCCTATGTTACTCCCCGGTACGAGCTACCCCTATACCCCAAATTTCAGACTCGGGGCAGACCTAGTGTAGCCGCCAACCCCGAACAGACAGACAGACAGACAAACGACAGTCACAAATATTAGTATAGATTATACGTGGTTAATCTTGCGACCTCCATTGTTAATATGTTGGGAGCCATTGTGACTAAGTGAGTAATTGAGCACTGGCTCGCTAACCTCGAATTCCAGGGTTCGATCTTAAATATTGCGGGATCTATAAAGCTTACCTGTTTGGAGCCGCGGTGGCTGAGTGTGTAAGCCGTTGGCTTGCTAACCAGGAGGTCCCGTGTTCGATGTCCGTATTGGCTGAGAAAGGATTTCCCGACGGGGTTCCCCCTTAATTTGTATGTGGTGTAGGACAGAGGGCCCGGCAAGGAAGACGTATGTTCGTTCAGATGGCACAAAAACCGATGTCCCGTGTACACATTGGCGTGCACGTAAAAGAACCCTTGACTGTTGCAATTCGATATAAGAGAAGACCGTAGCGCCAAGTCGGTCCAGAACAGTAGGGCGTTAAACTCCATTTCATTGCTTACCTGTTGCCATCTTATAGAAACCACCTATGGTTATAATAGCAATAGCTACAAGTTTAACCAATGTCAACCAATTCTGTATTATAGTGGCTAATTTAACACTGTAACAATTGATTGCCAATATTAATACTGAAATATAAAGGAAACTACGTCACTGAAACAAACTGTGTTTAAAATAAACAAAATATAAATGGATGCTTGTAGCTGCTGTACTGTAGAGGCATAATCTGTTGATTTTCAAAGTGATGTTCATGTTTGCAGGTTTAATAACATCAGCGAATAATAGACTGTATATTTGTTCATCGGGATTTCAGAATAATTATCAATAGGCTTAGTACTAATGCAATCATAAAGTTGTAAATAACCTCACGATGTGTGTCGATATAGAGACTATTTGACCGTTCCGCAGCTGTTGACACAATAGTCATCTTGGTGCTGGAAGGTAGTGCGTTAAACCCCATTTCATCAAGCCATTGACACGATTAACCACCAGTGGATGGTGTTCCTCGAGGTTCTGGTTTAAAACTAACTTTATTTACCATCTACGCAAAGCAGCTTGGGAATGTTATAAATCCAAAATATGTATGCTGACGATACGCAGCTTTTAGATTCGTTTGTCCCTGTATTCGATCAAAATGTCAAACTGCTAACAAAATATCTTCACGTATCGGAAAAAATAACACCTGTCTGAATCCTAATCCATTGAAACTTTCCATCCACAATTACCAAAGTATTATGATTAATTTACAGGAAAGATAAAATATTAAATGCAGATAATAGAAATATATTGCTTACACATAGCACATACTGTGACCACTTTCTTTAGATATAGAGGGGCCCCACAGTCACCATAGAACGGCTGAGTAGCATATGTTCCTAGACTCAGACTCATGATGGCAAACATGGCGGGTCTTAATACAAATATACCCAACCAGTCAAATAAAAAGGCCGGCACCGGTCCCCAACATTTATTCATGGGTTTAAATGTGTGCATTAAGTAAGCATGTTCTCCACCAGATAATGGTATGCTAGTTCCTAGTTCGGCATAAGTTAGGGCACCTAGAAAAATAAATATAAAGAAAATTCGATTATTTATTTATTATTTTGGGGGGCGTTTTCCGAGATTCTGCCAGGATTATCGACCTTATTGTTAGAATTAATTTGGCGTTGTAACTCATGACCTCATTTTGTTCTTACTTTTTTTTTAAATTTTTACTGAGGCCGGTTTCATTACAGGCCCGGGACTATGCAGTGCAATGGATGCCTACCACTGGCCCCTGGATCCATTCACTTGATTTGATATTTGTTATTTCAATGTGTATGTAGTTTTCCTTGTCCTCAGGTTTGTCTTGTCGGCTTTGTTTTGTATGAAGTGCAGTTCTCCTGCACTAACCATTAAACTCTAAGATCATTATCGTTATAAAATTGATGTGATCAATCAAGTTATTAACTTACCTCCGATTAGACCGGATGAAATTAGGTTTTTATGGCACGTCAGTCCGAACCGAGCTATATTGCGCCTGTCACATCGCTATATATATATCATTTCATTGTCAACATGGTGACTGAAATCATTTGTTGACGCTGTGATTGGCCACGAAGGTCCGTTTCCTGGCAGATTTCCATCACCGAAACGTCTCAGAATAGCATTGGGAATTATTCACAAGAATTATACACAAGAATCGTAGTAAAGAAAACTTAAACTAAGGCTGGACATTGAAAGATAATTTAGCTTATAGCCAATATAAAGTCTGCATTCTCAAAATATTTAGTTTTTCGTCAGAGACACCCAGACACAATATGACCAGGCCGCCCGTCATCGTCGTTAATGGTTTCGTCCTTTATCCATTTTATAGGCAAAAGCCTTTGGATCATCTATGCTGTGATTAGATTATATACAGCGGAAATGACAATTTGATTCAATAACTAACATTATCATCCCCATTAAAAGGACTTTGCCCCGTCTTATCGATATCTAAATATGGACACAGACCGGCTGATAACCTCACATGACATTGACCTGTATATGTCTGTCTCAAGTGGCTATTGTGGGTTATTTAAGAAGAACCTTCGAAACATAATACTTGCTAAAGCTGACCATAAACATTATACTTGCTAGAGTTGACCGTAAACATAAAAGGTCTTTTACCGGTCATTGAATTTAGGCTAATCCAACATCAATAATTATGAATTCAAGATCTAATGCTCCCTGTGGTACTAAGCATTACACAATATGCCATACGACAGTTCAACTGACCATAGCTGTACGTCTTTAATCAGAACGATAGCCGCAGTGGCGCACTGTGTGAGATGCTGGTTTACTTACACGGAGGTCCGGGGTTCGGGGTTCGGTCCCGGTGTTGGCAGAGAATGTTTCCCGGAATTTTACAGCGTGGTTTCCCCTTGTCAGTGACAGTGTCTAGTCGTCCGTATCGGACGAAAACTCCAAATCCCAAGTCAAGTGTACACGTTGTCGTGTATGTAAAAGAACCGTAAAAGGCCATAACGCCGCTGTCCAGGTAAAATTTACCCGGTAGCACAGTTGGTCGTTAAACACCATTTCGCTTATGTTGGGCACTCAAAGCTGAACAACGACTAAATCTGACCCGCTTGTTTCCGCACGGATAACTGTTCACTTTGTAACCGTGTAGCAAGTATACTTGAGTTTGTTCAGTTTTTTTTAATTCGTCTATTTGGTTAGGATATACTGTGCTAAGTATTTTTTTTTATCAAATAATGAAATTAAAGGTTACCAACCCATCATGGCTAAAAATCCACATCCCGCCCAAACTATTAAACTCATAGCCACAGATCCTGAACCCTCTAAAACTCCACGAGGGGATACAAATATTCCAGATCCTAAAAATAAAATATTACATTTCAGATGAGTATTTTGTATTCTAGCGTGCGCTTTTAGATCACAAGGTCTGTCATTAAATCAAGAGGTGTGGTTTCCATAACAAGGAGATAGGTTGTCTGCCAAACTCGTTGGTTTTCTCCGGGTCCTCCGGTTTACTCCCAATGCTAAAGGCCCCCAGACGCAAGCGGATTATAGAAATAAAATTGTGCCATATTATTTTGGTCCTGAAATGACCGAGATTATGTTGAGTTCACTCCACTTCTCGCTCTCTATTACTTTTGTATTTAAAAAATGCACGTGACATCAGAAAGAAAGTCACGTCATTATGCATGATGTTAGCAAATTCACCCACCGATCATGGTTCCAACTATTAGAGCCACGCCACTGATTAAACCAACTTCTTTTCTCAGTGCAACTTCATTAGTTTCAGTGATGGCAGAGCTAATAGTTGATGTGGAACCACTTTCACTTGTTCGCCATCCTGGCACCGCCAATACCGTGGCACCATTTTCTACTTTGGCTTTCTCATTTGCTTCAGTAGAACCTGGATGAATATAAATATTTGAATAAAAAATTGAAATAAAGTAAGAATAAAGTTTTATACACATTTACGACACGTTATTCAGATGTTTACCTTATTAGGATTGTATGATGTATAAAGATGAAATGAAATGGGGTTTCACGTTGTACTTTCCTGCATCATCCAGACTAATAATAATATAGACTAGCTTACGCCATGCAGTGTGCTTATATGAGTGAAATTTTGCCCGGACAGCGGCACAACGGGCTACTCTTTCTTCGAATTCCATCTGTCACGGGTTCTTTTACATGTACGCCAACGTGTACACGGGAGCTCGGTTTTTAGTCCCATACGAACGACTAGACACTATTCCTTACCATGCCCCCCCCCCACTCCTGCACCACCGACAAGAGGAATCTAATATAATTTTAAAATTCAACGAGTAGATTGTTAAAGATGCATTATGCAAGAGCTAAATCTGCCTATTGCAGTTCTTTCTTTAGGCCTTAAATGTTATATCAATTATTAATTAGACATTTATTAACTTGGCAAGACCATAAGCAACTCTCGATACCATCGGATGCTCCAGATTTTAAACGGATTTATACAGGATTCGAAGTTATATAATGATTTCATTAAAAAATGGATAATCAAGACTTTGATTACTATCGTAAGATCGGCAGCAATAACAACCGAGACTTCGCTATTCTCCAAATAGCCCTAACGTCGCTCAGATTGAAGAAATTCGAAATTTTCAAGATATTCCCTGTTCATTATCTTGTTTTTAACTATTATAGCGGGAACTGACAGATCTTATATCTAACTCTTACATAATATATCTATAAGTACATGTAATAACATGATCAGTAGTGGAATACCGCGTTTTATCAGTGAAATAAAAGTGTTATTCCACTGGCTAGTTGTTTTTACCTAAAATGATTGTAAAATCATAAAATAAATAGAACATTTGTCGTTTTGTTGTGAATAACATATTTATTTCATCTCTAAGCAAGAAAACGTTTAAATTTTCACGAATGCGTTTTCTTGCTTCTCGATGAAATAAAATATGTTATTCACCCCAAAACGACAAATATCCTCCATATATTCTGTTAATATTATGGTCTATCATATATCTTTACAAATATCTAAAAGACAGATCAACATTAATCGACGAGTTACAGACATTTAGTAATATTTTCTTTTCTTTATGCCAAAAGAGACCAATAATTGCGTCAGCATAAAATCAACTCCTTTGTTTAATTTTGGGTATCATATGCACAGATTGTTTAATTTGTTTGGGTTTTTTTTGCAAAAATAATGGACTTAAATACTCACTTAGTTAAATCTATGAAAAACAAATAAAATATAATATACACGTACATGACATAAATTAAAACATTGAAAAATAAATTTGAAAGAATAACAATTTGAATAAAAATTTTACCTTTAGTTTTCATTTTTTGGAAAATGAAAAATAAATCCACTTGTGGTTTGATTATTAATATTCGATATAAACTATGTATACTAATGTCCTGTTAATGAGTGAACACTATAGCAAATCTAATGTATACAGACATATACTAAACTAATATTTATGGTAAACATACACGAGGGCAATGATCAGAAATAAACGTTTGGACGAAGGTCCAACCACTCGTTTGCGCACATTACTAAAAGAAGGCCATAATAAATTGTTAAAATAATTTGAAATTAAAGGGCAAGGTCTAGATATGTAAGCTTATTTTATGCGAGCCATTTTCTGTGCAGCATTAGTGTACATCATACTATAAGATGTTGTGAATTGTCATAGTCATTCGATGTTGCGGAAGTAGTTGGCTATAGAACTTCTTCCTGAAAGTCGTTCGCCTCTTTTTTATTTCTAAAAAAAATGACGACTAATTAAGCTTCCCCTTTAAATTTTGTTACTCTATACTACACACCCCTCTGTGAAATTGTTATGTAAAATGGACAATGCCATGCTTAGCCCCGTGGCATAGTATATAATCTTTCGATAAAAAATTGTGGTAACCATCTGGCATGGAGACAAAGTTATGCAAGTTTATTTTTGGAAATATCGCATAGTGACCTTTATATAATATATTCAAACGTATCAGTAAGTTCATTTAAAAGTGCAAAACATAGACTGTTAAGTAACAAAACATGGCCACACTATAGCAGCTAAGATTTTTATGACAGAGACAGTAACTCTTCAAATAACGGTTACACGACGATGAATTTTTACGTGTTCATTCCTATCACTAGTTAAACAACTCCTAGTCTAACAATAAATCTGAATACATCTGGACTTTAGACCCATAACAAGGTTTAATTACAACGGGGACAATGCGCGACTTCGATAGACTCCTTAGATAGCCCCCACCCCACCCCAATACCATGCATAATACCATGCCATATAACCATGCCATGATATAACCATTGTATCTTTTTTATATCAATAGTTCACTTGGGGACTGGGTTCTTTGGGAGTGGTAAGAAACCTGGCTATCAGAAAACATCCAAAACGGTCAGGTAAACGTCTTTCACCGAATTGTTTAGATAGTGGACCTCATGATTTGCAGCTCGCTTATTTGACCACTCATCCCCGTTAATATTAAAAACCCTGAGCTCCACAGCTATTACAAGTTTAAATGACAGGGGCGATAACTCTGCAAATACTTGATGCACACTTACGAATTTCGATAGGCTTCATGTCTGGGTAAAGAAATGGATGAATAAAAAAGAACCACCTTAAAATCTCTGATGTGTGGAACGCTTGTCGGGTTTCAATGGCAAATACAATAATGGGTGTACAAGCTAACGTTGGGACCGGGAAAGAGTAACGACAATATAAGGATACATTCACACGTGGACGTCTTAAAGCTATATGGGCAAAATATCTACCCATGTATAACCCCAGATCCTATGCATTAAAGGTCAAAAATCAATTTGTTAATTATTTCCTTGGGATGTGTTGAATGGTGCTCTTCATTGTACGTCTGTTTGGTGCAGAAAATGTGGGTCTTAAAACGCAATTTCATTTACTTAAAGGAGCTAAATCGCTAATATTTGGGACCTAGAAATTGACACAACTCATATAATACTGTAATATGAATGTATATAAACTGATTTACATTCAATCGTTTCCGTTTTTACTCTAATTTCAAATCTGTTATGTTCCGTGAAATAAGCCATCAGTCTCAATCGAATGCAAATTCCTAGCGTCTGGTTATTCCAGTCTACATACGCCGTTTGGTTTGGTGCAATATGTCTAGCCTCGTTCCTCGAGTCTCTTGCTTGAACTGGGGCTGAAACGCATTATGGTAAAATATTTATTTTGTCTTAAATATTGGATATCAGAAGCCCATCTTTTTCTTGTAAGATCACAGCATCAATGTTGTTTTAAATTGACAAATAATTCGTGTTTTAAATGTTGAAGATTTTGGATGATATTAAGTTAGAGACTTAGCTCCTTTAAAGGGGCATTAGATAAGATTAGATACAGTTAGATTCAGAGCTGATAGATAGAGAATCAAAACAGAATTACAAACAAAGTCTCGATTATACATTTTTGTGTTAAATTATCCATCACAAAATGTACTCAAACCCACTATAAATATCGCAGGCTAGCGATGACATCAAGAGTTGATAATGATCTGGATAAGTTAATTAATGTCTAATTAATAATTTTGATATCATTTCAAGCCTATAAAGACAGACCTGCAATAGGTAGATTTAGCTCTTGCATAATGCATGTTTAAATCCGCTTCGAAATCAAAACAATCAAAAATAAAAAGCGGTACAAATGTAGTTTTATCCGGTTTGAAATGTCATCACCTTTACTTGATTTATTAAATGTTATTACTACTGACTGTGTTGACCTATCATTTTCCTGTGAATACAAAGCACGAAATTGCTCGTAGCATCCTTATAGCCTTTGCCGTATTAATAAAATATTATTATGCCTTCTCTATTTAGTGTCACGTTGAATAAAATAAATATTTACGACAAAAAAATGAATAAAAATATGTCAGTTTATATAACATTCTGCTGGTCATGGTTTTACAGGTTCGAGTGCTCGAGATTTTTATACGTCAAACATTCATGTGGACGTATTATTGCGTCGCCCCGTCCGTCCGGACGTCCATCCATAATTTGTTTGTGGACACTCTACAGGTCACAATATTTATCCGATTTTGACGAAACTTAAAATATATAGGTCTATCTCCCAAAGATCTCGGTTCCTTTCGATATTGGCATGTAATATCCATAACTTCATGGATTATGACCCCTGATTGTATAAAAAAAAAAAATCACTTTTTTAGCTTGTGGACACAATTTTGATCCGGTTTTGATGAAACTTAAAATGCATGTTTATATCCTGAAGAACTTGGTTCATTCCGATAATCGCACATATCTGAACGTAACATCCTGGGTTATGGCCCCGATTATTCGAAAAATCGCATTTTAAAACCCGTTTAAATATATCACCTTTCCACCATAATGAAGGTTGAATTCGAATTTCGGAAAAATCAAAATGAAACTGCCCAACGAAATGGCCACTCTTTGTACGCCTATTGTGTAAAAGTATGTAATACGAAGGTAGTTGACCATCTAAAGGTCACAATTCTTATATGAATTTGATGAAACTAAGACATAGTTTATATCCCAAAGATCTCAGTCCCTTTTGATGTTGGCGCATTTCAGATCATAACTTTCTGGATTATGGCCTCTGATTGTACAAAAAATCGCCTTTGTTTTTATCTTGTTCTCTATCCATCTCTTGCAAATTGTGGACGTATCTTGCCTGGCAGCCACTGGTTTTTCAAATTTGTTGTAACCATTTCATAAACAAGAGCTTTATCGAAATTCAAAGAAATGGGATCAATGAATCTACCGTGTACGAAAATGACCAAAAAAGACGAGGAATGTAATAATTAATTGATAATAGAATATTTCATTTAGGCTGTGCACCATCAGGCCATTTTTACATTAAATAGTCTGAGCATCATTTAGGTCATATTTAG